ATATTTATGTTTGTGGTTGTAATGTGACAAAATATGGAAAAGTTCAAGGGGTATGAATACTTTTGCAAACCACTGTATATTCCTCAACCACCTCCACTTCTTCTCCCATGATGGAAACAGGGTTTGATCTAAAACTATTTCTCCTGAAATCTACAATCATCTCCTTTGTTTTGTTCACATTCAAGATGAGATGATTGTTCCCACACCATGTCACAAAGCGGTCCACCAGCTCTCTGTACTCAGCTTCCTGTCCATCTCTGATACACCCAACAACTGCAGAGTCATCTGAGTMTTTCTGTAGATGACAGCAGTCTGACTTGTGCTGGAAGTCTGAAGTGTTACAGTGTGAAAAGGAATGGTGAGAGTACAGTTCCCTGTGGTGCTCCTGTGCTGCTGACCACCTGGTTAGACACACAGTCCTTCAGTCTCACAAACTGTGGTCTGTTTGTCAGGTAGTCTTTGATCCAGGTGATTGTTGAGGCCTATAAAGATAGTATAAAGGCCTTATAAAGATAGTCATTCCGTGAAAAACTCATGAATGGAGATTAAATAGACGTTGTGCACAGAGGAATCTGACTGATAAAAACTGTGGAGCTAAACCAGGACAGATGTGGATAAATACATCGGGTGAGTTACGAGTCTGACTTTTTTTTCTGCATTATCAGCTGTTGCAGGGGAACTCCATGCAGTGACATATGTTTCAGGGAGGGGGGTTTTCCGAACTTGGCGCGGGGGTGTCGTAGGGACTATGAAAGGTCCGTGCGAAAACGACTGCCGAACAACCAAGTGACCGCACGTCGACCCGTCGGCGTCGGAGCGAGTATGTTTCAGGCTTTATGATCTCTGTGGTTAAAGTCTGGTTTTCAGTGTTCTGCCTTCATAAATTTTCATTCTACATCGCATCCCCAGTGCTATGTTTGAATGACAATAAAGCGAATCTGAATAAAATACTCATTTTATGTTGTTTTATTAATCCCAAGAATTTTGTTAAATGCAGTTCAAATGGCTGGAAAATGTATAGTTTTATGTAGAACTTTTACAAGGTTTTCTAGGGGAGTACACGCCTGGACCCCACCCCTAGAACTGCTTCACTCCACAGCTGCTCCTTAACATGAACAACTTGTTCCTCAATTTCATCAGCTGATGTTGCTGATATGAGGTAGAATTCTGCTTTTCTGTTTTAAATGAAT